ATTCAGCTTGTGGGGCTATAAAATTCCAGTGTAGATTACGGAAGTAATAGTCCAGTGTCTCTTAAACTTTTTAAGACCGAGGACCACAAAACAATTTTTTTTTTATGAGGCACACCAAGGATTTTTTTGTTGAGCCAAAAAAAAAAAAAAATGTCGGGGGAAAAAGGGTTGGGGGGAAAGTATCTTAAAAACATCTTTAAGGGCGGCCATTTTGAATTCTGTTGTTCTCCGCGGCACGCTAGACCGGTGGCAGAGCAAAGCCAACATCTAGGAGCTTTGACGTCCCCTTGTCCAGCATACGCCGTGTTTTTGTCCCAAGTGCGCCAGACCAGGGAGGGCCCACCTATACATGCTGAGGAATTAAAGGTTATTTTTATTTATTTCCAAAAGTGTAGTGCTGCTCAAGACAATTACACAAGGCCTACATTCATAGTCAGGGCCTAAACGGCAGGGCATGTTGTGTTGAAAGATTTATTCCACAAGACTGTGTCATTGTGAGGGAGAGGCAAGTCCTTGGACTGGATAATCAAACCTCTGAGTCTCTTCTGTGGCAAGCTCATTTGATGCTGGGATATGAAAGGAGAGGACATGCGGTCCATACATCCATTTGGGAACACTTGCCTGTGATCAGCTTGCTCACCAGAATCCTCCCTAGCTGCACAGCCAAGGAAGGGCTAGTCGCAATTCTAGGCTGAGGTGCCTGGGTGTGTTGTGGCCCCATGTGTATGGGTGGGAGCTCTGAGGAAGAGGCAGGGCCATGATAAAGCATATTACAGACTGAGGATCAGTCCCTCGACGAAGTCTCCCTGTGTCACCTCCAATGTTAGACTGTACCTGGAGGAAACAAATCTATCCCTCTGCTAATCAGGGATGTCACTGATTAGCATCCCTATTACCAGGTGATGCTTACCTGTAACTGGTTAACTGGCAGCCCAACCTGGCCGAAACAGTCCTCGGCTTGTGCAGCGGGCCTGGACGGAGCAGCTCCTGAGTGCGGGGCAGCTACTTGCCCAGTGAGGCCCACCATGCTGCAGGGGCCACTCCAGCCCAGCTGCACCCCCCCTGCCCACAGGATGCCTTTTAAGTGGTTAACCAGTCAACTGATTAAATGGGATTTTACATCTCGCCTGCTAATCCACTCACGTTTGTTTCCTCCTTTGTGACTCAATAGTATCAATTCTATGGACACACCTAGGGGAATAGAATGTGCTCGCTATGCCATATCCTCTCTGCCAGGCCTGCATCCACAGCACCACGCTGGCTTCCGTCATCTCTCTGGAGTAAAGTGACCCCAAAAGTACCATACAGTTCCCAAGGCTGTCTCCGTTTCCATCTGCTGGCAAGGATACGGCCATGGTGAGATGGAGGAAGGCTTCCTTCACACTGCCGTGACATACTTCACTCATTTCTGCTTAACTGCAATCAGGGCCAGCCCGACACCTTTTGGCGCCGTGGGCCTGGGTGTGTGGTGCTGCCCCCAGGTGGAGGGCACATGCGCAGGCCCACCCGTGGGGCATGGGCCCACCCCCTCAGGGAGCGCAGGCCCGCCCCCAGGGCGCACGTTGCATGCGTGCGCCAGCCATGGCCGCTGGCGCACAGCCCAAGGCCTGTCCCTGGGGTGCACGGCCCATGCGCTGCCCAGCCCGGCCTGGCCAGCACTGCTAGAGCACATGCCGGGCTGTGCAGGGCCCCGCAGCAGTAGGGGCAAGGGCGCTTCTGTCCGGCGCCGGAGGGCCGGCACTGCGGGAGCCGGGCGTGCGGCTCCTAATGGCAGCTGTAAGGGACACTGCGTGCCCCTTACAGCTGCCATCAGGCGCCCCCCGTGGGTTGGCGCCCTGGGCAGCTGCCCAGCTCGCCCAGGCCTCCGTCCGGCCCTGACTGCAATCATAAACATATCCCTTCACCTTGGCTACGTCTACACTGCAGGTTTCTTGCACAAGAACTGTTTTGCGCAAGAGTTCTTGTGCAAAAGATCTTGCGCAAGAGCATGTCCAGACTGCCATGTACTTTTGCATAAGAGATGTGCTTTTAGGCAAGAGCATCCATGGCAGTGTGACGCTCGCTTGCGCAAGAAAGCTCTGATGGCCATTTTAGACTGTTGCCCGTCCACACTGCCTTCTTGCGCAAGAGCTCTTGCTCAAGAGAGCTTATTCCTCATGGGGAGAGGAATAATTCTTGTGCAAGAAGCCCTCTCTTCTGATGCTTTACTGTAAATTTACTTCTGCAAGATCACGCCTGCAGTGTAGACGTTTCTCAAGTTTTTGCACAAGAACAACCGTTCTTGTGCAAAAAGCCTGCAGTGTAGATGTAGCCCTCGGGTTTTAGTCTCATCCCTTCATTTTCGTCCATGGACCACTGAGGAAGTATTCTTTCATAATTTGCAGTCCACTTTATACTGTCTGCTCTTTGGTGTATGTAATAGTTAGCAGCATAAAGTTCTGAACTTTTATTGGTTAAGCAGATTCAGTTTGATTTTTTTTTAGTCTTCCAAAAGTGCTTGATCTAATATTTATTCTTTCCTCGCTTGGCAGGTAAGATTTGCATGTATCAGCTGAGTCATGTAGCATAATTATTAATTCTACCTCAGGAAAAAGTTTTATTATTTTTCTTCCCAATTTGCACTGAACATTATTGTGATGTCCCTTATATTCAGACTTCATTCATTTCCTTTCTTGTTTGTTTCCCTTAATTCATTCAAGATCTGTAGGTGCTCAGGCAAAGACTACAGTGACATCAGCCAATGAAGTAACTCCCCAACAATCAGAGGCACAGAGGTCTTTCACACTATCTTTCTTGTAATTTTGGTATGTTACTACTGGAATGTTGCAGCACCTGCTCATTCTTGAACTATCATGTGCACAGCCTAGTAAATTACACCAGCGAAGCACAAGGAACTGTATTTATCTAGGCAGACAGAGTAGCACTGTAGGTTGATCTTCTGGTGACAGAGCAGTGGGTAGCTCTGTAGGTTGATCTTCTGGTGACAGAGCAGTGGTGAATGGGGTAATCTGTAATCCAACAGCCTATCAGACCAGTGGTGAAATTCTGACCCCATTGAAATCAGTGGCAAAACTCCCATGAATTTCAGTCACAGGTAGAATTTCACTTAAGGTTATTAAAGAGGAGTCCAATATGGGAGCTGCTTGGGTTCACAGCACTATGGGAAAAATGTTATTTCAAAATTGCTCCCACACCAGCTGTGCAGGGTCAAAACTCATCCTCTTTCTGGGGTTTGGTTTTATTAACAAGCTAATATGACAGACAACAGATTGCAATGTGAGCCTTCTCCCCAGACTCATGCTTCCTCCCCAGGGACGATTCAGACTCTGAGTTAGATTCCTTTGTCGAAAAGGCTTCTCCAATCACTCTTCTGTCCAGGGTGGAGTTCACAAACTACATCTGCCACAGTGAGTCAGCAGGGATCTATGAAATTTTCCTTGCAGGCTTTCAGATGACCAGATACATAGGAGGCCCACAGGAGGATTCTAGTACAGCCTTTAAAAAAAAGTCAGACTAATAAGTACAGATACTAGGGATCATGAGCTTTTGAGGGCAAAACCCACTTCTTCAGATGAGTTGGAAGCTGAAGAACTGGGTTTTGCCCATGAAAGCTCATGATTCTACGTATATATATTTGTTAATCTCTAAGGGCATGTCTACACTGGGGAGTTATTTCAAAATAACTGATTTTAAAATAAGAAGGCGAGCGTCCATATTGTCGATCCTCTTATTTTGAAATAATGGGCTTGTTCTTCCAAAACAACAACTCCTGCTTGTGAAGAGGAATAAGCTTATTTTGAAATAGATATTTCGGGAGCTATTATTTCGCAATAACCTGGTAGAGCAGACATCATGTTTTTTAAAGTTACAGACTAACACGGTTAGCCTGCTGAGATACTCGGGATGTTAGAGTTTAACTGATTAACTGAGAAGCTGATGCTTATCGGTTAATGTTATCGGTTAAACTCTGCCTCGCTCCTGGGGAGAGCGCTTCACTGTGGCAACGAAGACTCCTCCCTGGGAGCAGGGCCGGCAGACTTTGCCCACCTGCCTCTCCAAGAGTGGGACAGGCAGCCCCATTCCCCGGAAAGGCTTCACTGCAGGCTCTGCAGTATGAAGCTTATTTTTAGCGGTCAAACAGTTACCATATTAAACGCCCTAACCCCTCTAACACACACATATTGCAACTGAGTGGAAATTTCCAAGAAAAACTAATGCTCACATTTAGGCTGTGTCTAGACTACTTGGCTCCATCGACGGAGCCAAGTAGATTAGGGTTGTAGGCAAAGGGAAATGAAGCGGCGATTTAAATAATCACCGCTTCATTTAAATTTAAATGGCTGCCGCGCTGAGCCGACAAACAGCTTATCAGCTGTTTGTCGGCTCAGCATGCTAGTCTGGACGCTCCGCGGTCGACATCAAAGCCCTTTGTCGACTGCCCCGTTATTCCTCGTGGGATGAGGTTTACCGGGGCGGACAACAAAGGGCTTTGATGTCAACCGTGGAGCTTCCAGACTAGTGCGCTGAGCCAACAAACAACTGATCAGCTGTTTGTCGGCTCAGCGCGGCAGCCATTTAAATTTAAATGAAGCGGCGATTATTTAAATTGCTGCTTCATTTCCCTTTGCCCAATAAACAAATCTACATTGCTCGTTCGATGAAGACATGTAGTCTAGACATACCCTTATTTACCGTGGTATTAAGATCTTTTCTTTCTATTCTGTTTTTTCATCGGAACTCCATAGAGACTGTGCACATTCTCCATTCTAATCCTTCAGCATCCTACTTTCACTAGTTTCCCAGGTTGAAAGAAACTGGACACGTCCATTGATATATACTTTTTTTTATTCGTGTCCCTCCCCTTATACCAATAGCTCTTGGAAATTACTAGAGGATGAAGTCAACAGAACTTTAAAATAGACTCACTCTCTCACACAAAGGAAACACTGCTCAGATTTTTGAACTCAGGAGAACACAGAAGAGGCACACAAAAACACAAGGAAAATGCAAACATTTAGTTTTTATTTGCACGTGTATTTTTTCTCACCAATAGCTGGTGTTCACAAAACCTTTTCAGCTGACAGTATCTTTTAGTAAACTCCATGAATACTGTTTAAAAATAGCTTGAGATTAGAAAATTACACAAAATTCTCCACTTGTCCTGTTAAAGCGTGCTGAATCTCAGATCCACTATTTTATTCAAAAGTTATTAAAAGTTTGATTTTTGTGGCTAATAGAATGCTTTTAATTGTACGTTATTGTCTTTACTGATGTGGTATTTTTCCTGAGTTGTCAAGACCACAGAATATGTGCATTTTCTCTTTTTGTAGACTTATTTTCATAGGCTCTTAGACACAAAGATTCTGTGGGTGAGATTCAGGGAAAACTGCCATTGCAAATGGCAGGGGAATGCGGTAAACGGTAATCTTTACCCTCATAGTATTTAAGAAATGTTGGGAATAAAACTAGAACTCCCCAGTCAAGGAAGGCTGTTATTGGCTAACAGTTGCTTGGCAACACTAGGGTTGTGGCATGTTCTCTTTAGATACAGTCCAGCAATCTGAGCCCGCCTCATAGGAGATCCTCTTCACTGTAATAAAGAGTGCACATCTAGGTCCCAGGAGTTTCTTTGAGGTGTCAGCTGTCCTCAGTTCCCACCAACTTCAAAGAGAACTATAGAACGCAGGACTGCACAGGACCGGGTATATTTTGCAAAGTTACAGTATGCGAACTTAATGGTAAGGTAAGAAAGTAACAGGTCATAGGATATGCAAATTTAAGTGAATTCACTAAACATTTGACATTCTTGTTTGATTTAGTTTTTGTTTGTTTGTTTGCTCTAACTTCTTAATGGTAGAAAATGAAGGCTCTTTTTTGCCATTGGCAAAATCTCTTTCCGAGAAGAAAACTCAGAAAGTTCAGAACAGCAAGTTCAGAACAGCATCATGCCAGTGCTGTATGTTTTGTTTATATTTTACTGCAATAAATAATGAACAACTTATTCACAACAAAAATCACATACAAAATAAACTAATTGGCAGGTTTTCACAAAACTGGATTATTTGTGTTCATCGTATTGCAAAGTGAGGTCAGCAAGAAAAAATGATTTGGAAAAGACATCGCTTTTGCATTAGGCATAATTATAATGAACTAATAATTAATCAATAAAATGTATTTGTGATGGAAATAATCATGACACACCTAAAATTTTTGAAGGCAAATCTACTTAGGCCTACAATTAACATGCAAGTTCATCCAACAAGCAACACAAAATTTACTGTAGTAGTCAACTGTTCTATCAACATTCAAAAAGGTCTAGACAGCAGCACAACTTTTTCTATATAGAAAACACACCATAACATTAATACAACAGTCTGTTTGAAATCTGGAAAATACCCGCTTGGTAACTAGACCTCTATCGTCAATTTTGACTTCTGACACATGATATAAATACTGGGGATTATTTTGTGACAATGAGGTCAATACAGGCTAAATGAAAAATTTGCCGTATTGCTAGTAAATGATTCTCTCTCATTAATCATTTCTTAAAGAAATGCATGTGAGCTTAGTGTGCTAAAATGCATGGCTTTGAAAACAATAATATGAAGAAAAACCTCAATTTATAACATTCAACATAAGCACTTATTTCTATTGTGCGACTGCAATTGTCGCATCAGATCTAGGAAGAGTGCAGAAAAGGTCAAATTTTAAAACTACAACCTCAGTGGTACGATGGGAAAAGTATCAGTATTGTCTGCACCCATCTCTGTGTCTGCTATTTAAACTCCTGGAAAATCTGCCAACATTCTAAGTTCCTAAATATTTTTTTCCTTCCTTCAAAAGGGTTAAAAAAGTAGGAAAGATTTTGTTCAAACTCTTGCTAAGTTACTCTTATTACTTCAGCTAGCACGATGGGTACATGACATCCAAGTACTGTAAATTATCAAAAAGTACTGTACAGAAAATTACAAATTCATTTCAAAATACATTACACTGCTAAGATTGAGATAAAAAGTGCTTTTTGCCAGAAAAGGAGTCTTCTCAAATAGAAGTGTCACATAGTTTACTTTTTTCAATAAAATTCTGGTGTTTCAGCCTCATTGTGCTATAATCTATTATTTTTTCCCTCACCACAACCAAATCTGTAATTAAGTCCTTCTGCTTTCGTGGCTGAAATGTTAAGTGATGACTACCAGTGGAAAATGTGCTCCATGTGACAGTGCTAGTAGCCATCTGACTGTTCGATTTAGTGGCAAAGAACAGGCGCAAATCCTTCACAACCCAGGAGAGTGCCTCATTATTTTGTACACTGTATTATTTCCAGAGAGCTGTTCTGAGACTCTGATGAATTTATGTAGTGTTGTACTTTCCCATGGGTTCCACACAATCTCTGGATGCCTTGGCAAGTCTTTATCCAACGTTTGTTCAAGCCTTCCCCTGAAAAGTCACTGAATTCAGCGGTGCCTGTATTGCCTCATGAGTGGGACAATACAAGATGGCGGGCCTGCCAGTTTCAGAAATGGATGCCTTAATAGTTCTTGTGCTGTTGCTCTCTCAGAGGGCTCCCTCACCAACATCAGATCTAAGAACCCACGGAGCACTGAGGAAACCTGCAACATCACACTGAGGTTATGGAACGCAGATAAAGCAAGATAAACGCTAGCATGGCTTTTCAAACCAGCTTTGCTGGAAAGTCAATTAAAATATATGTTAAGAGCATGCAAAATTGTGATAGGAATTACAGCTAGCATATATAAGAAGACTGAAAGGACACTCATCTTCCGTATATGAGAAAATTAAGAAATATGGTGGCACGAGCGGGCAAAGAGCTGAGGTGGCATTTAAAATGGCTTGGTATAAAATGTTTTAGCACAGCAGGATACGTTTTTCTTATTACCGAGGGCAACATTCTGTCTATCAAGCCCAGCGAAGGAGTAGGACTCCCCTTCATAGGTCACTTGGAACCTGGATACTAGCCCATCCTCCTCCAGGTTCGGTGGCCAATGTCATTAAGCCAGCCCAGGATGGAGCGGGTAGTACTTACAGCTGGCATGGCCCCACAGCTTACTATTACACCCAGCTTATGGACCATCCAGTGCTCTGGGATGTGCCTCAATCCACAATCTAGTCTTTAGAGTTTACACCATCATCAGGTCATGCATTTGGCTCACGTTAAGATCTGAGTGGGTCCATATAAGTGTAAGCATTCTCACCTTATGCATGTCCTTCACTCGTGGAGGTAAGTTATCTCGGATTCTGCGCATTGCTTGGAGTGGTGGCTCATTGAAATAAGGCGGTTCTCCATCTATCATTTCTATTACCATGATGCCCAGTGACCAGATATCCACCTGCAATAGATAGGTCATTACTAAGCTGTGCAACTAGAATATGAACACGTACAGGATGAGCATTTTGAGATGGTCAGTCCTCACGGCCCTATCCCATTGCTTTGCACGCAGCATGTTCTGTTTGTGCCAATGGGGATTTCCGCTTAAAAACTGATGGTCCATTGAGATGATGACTCTCTTTCTACAAATTGTTAATACATTTTGCTATGAGAAAAACAGCGTACGCTGAAAGGGATTTACAATACATTATGGTCCAGATTCTCAGTTGGTGTAAATCAGCAAAGTTTATCGAGGCCAATAAACCAGGATGGGCCCAATTTAAACTAGTATGGATCAGATCCAAGTGAAGGTGTGGTATGTATGGGGGACCCGACTCCTACTGCCCCCTACACCAGACCCCCTAGTAATCCCAGATGCTGCAACCCTCAGGGGAGAGGGACTTTGGGAGAGATGCAGTGGGGGAGAGGGGTGGAGAAGGCAGGGGAGGGAAGAAGTGGGATTTGGGGGAAGGGTACAGAAACACACATACACCATGGGCTGCAGAGACTCTGGGGGCCAGATTGTGAAATTGCTCAGGCTGTAGATTGCCCATGGGCCGTGAGTTTGAGATCCCTGCCTTATGCTCATTTTAAAGTGCTTTGACACTGGTGAAAGGTGTAAGGGGTCTAAGAATATGTCTACACATGGTTGTAAGGGGCCTAAGAATATGTCTATACGTGGTCCTGGAGTGTGATTGCACAGACGTCTTTGCACTAGCTCTCATTGAGCTAATGTGCTAAAAACAGTAGTGTAGCCACCGTAGCACGGGCAGAGGTGAGTGGTGACCTAGACTAGTCATGCTGAGTACACCCCCTCACACACCGAAGCCTGCGGGTATGGACTTGGGGTAGCTAACCTGTGCTGCTGTTCACCACTGCCGGTGGCTACATGACTCTTTAACATGCTGGCTGAATGAGAACTAGCACGGGTATGTCTAGGCGCACTGTGGAATCAGACCCACAGCTCCAAGTACAGCCATACTCTTGCTGTCAATGACCATGGGCCCCAAGGTTATGTGTGTATTGAGCACCACACACACTGGGCCAGAATTGGCTCTTACTTACAGGCTGTCCATGCAGAGTAACAGAAAGGGCAGGGGAATTCTGGTTTTACACTGCTCTGACTTGGAACAGGATTTGTCCCACTCTGCATGATGCGTAGATACAGCCTCTTCCTTACAACTTTAAAACATGACTCATCTCCCTGGGTGTGTGCACATCAGGCATTTGCTCATCTCAGCTGTTATCATAGGTAATATAAAATCAAATACAAATATGCCAAGTCCTACTACCATGTGGAGTAAAAAAGGGAGAGTTAAAAGTCACTTCTTTGGATAGGAAACTGTGAGTCACTGCCATGACTAAGAGAAAGGAGGAATTTTTTATAAACCCGCAGCAATCTTCAGTTGTAAAATACGGTGACTCAGTACTGGGTGACAAATGGGTTATAACATAACATAATATCTGTGAGTCCATAAAGGCAGCTCCTTGCTGTTCTCATCTGAAGGTCCTCAGTAAAAGCTCTGACTAGTCTATTCTCCTTACAGTTTGGCAGTTCTCAAAATAGTTCCCTGAGTCGTAGAAATTGGTACAGCTACTTACCCTAATGAGTGAGTAATTTATCATACTTTGAAATGCATTGCAGCCTCTTTAAAAGTAAAATAACCCATGCTGCTGTGCTTAACTTGACAGAGCAATGCAACACAGAGGGTATGTCTACACTGCCGCCCTTGTTCGAACTAGGGTGGCTAATGTAGGCATTCGAACTTGCAAATGAAGCTCGGGATTTAAATATCCCAGGCTTCATTTGCATGTTCCCAGGCGCCGCCATTTTTAAATACCCCGTAGTTCGAACTACCTGCCCGTGGCTACATGCGGCACAGACTAGGTAGTTCGAATTAAAGCTCCTAATTCGAACTACCATTACTCCTCATTGATATTTAAATCCCGGGCTTCATTTACAAGTTCGAATGCCTACATTAGCCATCTAGTTCAAACTAGGGTGGCAGTGTAGGCATACCCAAACACTTAGGGTGAAGCAGAAATCTTCTAAAATTCTTGAATATTTCTCCATCAGCATCCAAATGGGAAACCACCACACAGGTTATTTTCTTTCATACATTGGAACAGAAATGATAATACGAGTGTATAATGATTTGAGAGGTCTGCATGAGATTCTAACACTCTCCCTCATGCCCAATCTGAAGCCCTCGCAACACAATGAGGTGTTTTTTCATCAGGTGTTTAGAAATACTGATCGGCTGTAACAACAACAGCTGTTTCGAAAGTGAAAGTGCAGCTGTTGATCGGAGTAACGTGCTGGCGAGATCATGCTAATGAAGCGCGGGATATTTAAATCCCCGCTTCATTGACTATTTCAAGTGCCTGCATTTGGATCCCTAGTTCGAACTAGGGTGCAAGTGTAGACATACCCTAGGAATTTATCACTATCTAAGGGTGTGTCTAAACTACACCCCTCTGCCGACAAAGGGATGTAGATTAGGCACTTTGAAAGTGCAAATGAGGCTAGGATTTAAATATTCTGGGCTTCATTTGCATACTCACATTTGGGTGCTGTGCCGATCACGCGTCCTTTCGAAAGTGAAAGTAAAGTCTAGCCATGGCTCTGCTGACAGCGAGGAGCTTTTTCGGCAGATCAAAAAATGAGGAGTACAGGATCTGCCGAAAAAGCTCCCCACGGTCGGCAGAGCCGCGGCTGGACTTTACTTTCACTTTCGAAAGGGCGCGAGATCGGCACAGCTCCCGAATGTGAGTATGCAAATGAAGCCTGGGATATTTAAATCCCGGGCTCATTTGCACTTTCGAAGTGCTTGATTTGCTTGCATCCCTCTACTGACAGAGGGATGCAGTCTGGAGGTAGCCTAAGTGTTAACGCGGCATTTTCTTCAGACATGAGTCTGCAGAAACAGCACTGTGTCAAGTTTCTGCACACTTCAGTTTGCAGTTTTCTGACTTTTGACAGACAGCTTGACAGTTAAGGATCATGACCAGCCAGAAAGCATCTATGAACTCACCTAGATTGTCTACAGGAGGGCTGGGCATTAAATGGACTGTGGGCCAGACGCGTTCACCAGGGTTAACTCCTGGCAGGCTTCTGGACACTTGATTTACCTGCATGTTCGCAAGTACAACCCTGTTCGGGCCACAGGTTGCTTATTGCCCACCTCTGGTCTACAGCTTGGTATAATGGGCCCTTATGAAGAATCATCCAGGTTCAACACAAGAGCGTGGAAAGATCAGCCCTTGGCACCTGATGTTTACAGGAGGAAATCGCCATTTGTTCAGAAATGACCAGCAGATTGGAGAGAGGAGTACAACAGGGTCTGGTTTCTGTTTTAAATGGGAAGTAAGGTGTGAGTGGATGCAAGTGCTTGCACGGGGAATGCATGGGGAATGGGAGTGGGATTTTTCCAAACCTCTCAGCCAGTGATTAATCAGCCCCGCCCAGTCAGAGGCTCTGGGCTCCCTGTGAAGCTGTACTGCCGCCCAGCTTAGTGGGAACACTGCTCTCAGCCCTGGCTTAGCTCATTACGGCTGAGCAGAGTCAGACCAACGCTGCTCACAGACAGTCTGCCTGCACTCATTGTTCAACTTGGAGTCAGGGACCGTCTTTTCTGTGTGAGTTTGTAACATGCCGAGCACAGTGGGGTTCTGGACCATGCCTGGGGCTCACATTGTATCACAATACAGATAACAAGAAAACCAAAACAATGACACAAATGTTACATGTGCACCTGGCTGTTCATATATGCAAATGTTTGATTCCCATGTGCAACAGTCGTAACTTGGTAACGACACACACCTCCTGCAGGCACAGTTAGGCTGGCATTTTTATACACAAAATTGCACATACCTAAGTGTGAAAATCAGCCCCTGGTGTTGTTATAAAGAGTATTATCATACATTCAGTAATGAGAAAATTATGACAATTCCTTTTAATTATATAACACCTAAGTTAAAAATTCACATAGAAGCTCCATTATATGAATGTTCAATAAGAAAGTTCTATTTAATACTGTCTGATCACATCCCCATGTTTTATGTATAATGCTACTGTATACTGTTACTCTGTATTGTCACTGTATAAAGTTATCACGTTGAGGTATAATCTATTGCTATGTTATTGCACATGCAGTGATTACAGTTTAGTGCATTTTTTTTTAGAGACAAATGTATTTGGGCATAAGCTTTCATGGGCTGTAACCCACGTTGTCAGATGCATCTCTCATGAAAGCTTATAAGTGCCACAGGACTCCTTGTTGTTTTTCCTGAAACAGACTAACATGGCTACCTCTCGGATACCTTCTTCCTGTATTAAACATATTCTAAATTATGCATCGCTACAGAGCGAGCCACAACCTCGCTTTACAATTGTACTTGTTTGTGAGGAAGTGGTTGCGTCAACAAATACTGAAGCAGGGAACAATGCCCTGGCAATGCTCACCTCGGTTCCATACGGCAATCTGGAGATCACTTCTGGTGCCATCCAGTATGGCGTTCCAACGAGAGATTTCCTTTTTGGAACTTCCTTGGAAACTTGGGCACAGAACCCGAAATCTGATAATTTTATCTAACAATAAATAATGAAATCAAAGAACATGATAGGTGATGGGCACTGATATGGTATTACTGCAAGCCTTCTGTTAATACCAACAGTAGATATAAACTGATTAAAATAAAGAAGGTAGCACCGCCATTAAGGTTGTCTGACATGTATATTATATTGTATATACAGAACTGCCTAGGTGCAAAGGTGATAATTGCTTTGAAGGGTTGATCAAATATCACTCTAAGGGAAACATACAGTAACATTGGATTGTATTTCCTTAGTGTTGGTCAAATCATCCTTATATATATAGCAGCTACCATCCTGACTTGAAACACAGACATGATGGGACTATCAGAAATGTGTAGAATAGCTCTTGGAATATCTTATTACCAAACTGCTCAAGATAGTTAAGACCAAAGCATTTGGGGCATCTGATATTGACCACTGTCGGCAGATAGGATACTGGGCTGGATGGACCATTGGTCTGACCCAGTATGGCTGAACTTACGTTCTTATGTGTTTTCTCATATTTACTTGCTGAGTTACATACAACTCTGCTTCTCAATGTTGCCAATGTATGAAACTCTCTTGTATTTATATTGATGAAGCAACTAGTGAAGAACATAGAACCTTCCTTACCAACATCACGACAAGGATGTAGCCTTGTTTTACCGTGCTAAAGAAGGGTGGTATGTTGCAGTCGAAATATACCTCTCAGTGAGCATTCAAAATCCAAAGCTGAGGTCACTATAAACCAGCAGTTCTCAAACTATGGGCTGGGCCTCCTCAGGGAGGCATGGGAATGTGCCAAGTGAGATGCCAACTGTGTGCTTGTTTGTTTTTTGAAGAGCTATGGCTGTCAGCCCTGGGTGGGTGGGGCTTGTGCAGAAGGGGTGGGAAGCAGGGAAAAAGGGGACAGCCAGAGCCCTGCCACCCTGGGACTGACAGCAGGAGCCAGGCCACTTAGGAATGATGCCTCCTCCTCTCCCAGTTGCTCACCTGGAGGCAGTGGTGGGGCTCTGGCTGTCTCTGCCAGGTGGAAGCAGCAACACAGAAGTATGGGAGGCCATGGGGTGCTAAGTTTGCTGTGAAAAGTGATATTCATCAATGTCACATTTCACATTGGCATCCTTACTTCTGCGCTGCTGTAGATATAGTGCTGCCCTCCAAGAAGGGTGCCTGGCCAGCAGCTGCTGCTCTCCGCTCTGCCTTCCGAGCCGGGCGCCTGGCCAGCACAGCATGGGCAAGGCAAGATTACCATTACTGTATGCAGCACAATAATATTAGCTGATGTTACCCAAGCTGCTAGTAATTCGAAGCAGGAATTTAAGTCTTCCAAATATTTTGAGTATATTCATCTGGAGTGTGAGCCTGATGAACAGCTTAATGTTTTTTCAACCCTTTGAACTGAGAACATTCAGAGGCTTTCATTTTGGCGATCTAAAGTCACGTGATGGCAGTTTACAGAGGTCAGCTACTTTGGTGCCTCTCTGGGTATAATAGTTTGCCCTTTGATTGACAGACAAGGAGGCCTATAATTCAGCTAGCAATGAGTATCATTCTTCAGAAGACGTTCAGAGATAGTGCCTCTCAAATGCAGAATTCCAAAATTATCACATCACTGCATGTAAATCTTCTTCTTAGTTACACCATAAGTTTGAGTCTCACAAGTTAATTGGCATACACTACATCTTTATGGAGTCTGCCTCGGCATGGGGGGTGGGTATTAGACAGGGGAAGGCAATGCCTTCCCAAACTGCCCAGCTGGTCCTGCCCACACTCTGCCCCCTGCCCTCCCCTATTCAGCATGGCTCCCCCAGTGTCCTGGGGCTGTCTGGGCTTCAGACTCATTGAAGCCGGAGCCATGCTGCCTGCCCTCTGGGGCTGGGTAGGTTGGGGCCTGATACCAGCGGGGCTCCAGGATCAGTGGGGCTGCCCACCTACGGGGTGGGGCTGCCTGTCCTCCCTGTGTTCCTGGAGCTGGGGAAGGCTGGGGCCACCCGTGCACCACCTGCTCTCTCTGTGCTCAGTATGTGTGTGGAAAGATTGGGGCTATGTGCCTCCTGGTAGGGGTGTTGGTGGTGACCTGCCTCTGTAGTGGTGGGAGGTTGGCTCCCACGAGGCTCTGAATGGAAGGGGTGGGGTCTTGGGCATTAGTTATCAGCAGCTGAGGTAACTCAAGGCTAGTGCTGCAAAAACGGCAGTAGAAAGACTCCAGGGAGCTGCGCACATTCCCAAAGGCTGTAGAACTTCATGCTGGTGGGAAGCTCATCCAAAAGGAGACAATATAGACGTCAGTGCCGAGGCCACTGATGGAAAGAATTCCTTTCATTTGCTGGCTACAGTGGTATTTGAAGAACAGTCTGCAGATGCTCCAGCATCACAAGAAATATCACCGAAGCACAGGAAAGAAAAGTCACTTATATGTGCTCTATGCGCCAATATGGCTTTTTGGATCTCTTGGTGTCAAAGAACGAGCATAATTAGGTCACCTGATACAGATGTTTTGATCGTGGCTGTTCACGACTTTCCATAAATGAAACATATAGATAGCAGGTGGGTTGATCTGCCTCGCTTCATACCTGTGCACACAGTTTGTGAAGCCTGTTACATACCTACAGCTGTACACACACTAATGGGATGTGACTCTATCAACTCTATTTGATATTGGGAAAAACTCTGGGTTTAAAGTTTCAAAACAATGGGAGCTTACACTTAAGAGATCTTGCCAAACTGGAACAGAGTGACAGAAAGCTGCAATTTCCCCCGCAGGGAAGTTAGTAGCAACGTTGCATAACAACAACAAGAAAGAAGAGGAGACAAAATAAACCTGAATTGCTTACACCTCAGTCTAGCTGTCAAAGTGGATAAGCCGCTAGCCAAACTCTCACCATGTCAGGGCAGTAAGGAAGAGCAACGTGGCAAAGAAAATGTTGGATCTCTTTGCACATCGGTAAACCAGATCTTGGATCACCATTGCAACATGGATGGAAAAATGTGGATAAACTATTTCCAGTATTCTTCATGGGCCCAATGGCATCTGCACTTCCAGAAAACCTTATTTGTGCCTGCCTCTATAGGTATTACTGCACAATCAAACGCATCTGTAGTCAGAGCAATTTTCCTACACGTAATTGTGTACATATCATGGCACTAAAGACCGTGGTAATCCATGTACTCTTGACAGAGACCACAATGAACAAGATGATGCTAATGATGTTGACTAGAAACATCACCGGCGCTATTACTTTTCAATGATACCTGTGTGTGTTTAATATTAGTTTTTGTTTTAGATTGTTGCTGGTGTCATAAAACAGAAATGAATGAACATATTTCAGTGTGGTCATTTTAACGTGTTGATGGAATCGTTTATTCCCATTTCTAGGATAACAGTGCTACTTGACAACTCTACATCACACCTTCTTTTAAAGTAGACATAATACACTTTCAAATGACGCATGATGTGTGTATGTGTGTTGAGAGGAAACATTAAATCAGGGTGTATGGGATTCACCTACCATGTCACTCTGCAGTTTGTGGATAAGGAATGAACCTGACAGCTATATGAGGCATTAAAGAGGAAGCACAATAAATTGATGCATGGTGTAGACTAACATTTTATTATCAGTGTTGATTTGGTTTTTTTTGGTCTCAACACAGATGCTATTTTTTTCTTGAGGGCAGTTGGTTTTTTTAAAAACCAGACTGTAGAAATAATTGTAGGTATTTTTAAAAGAAAGCCAATAATATCCACATTGCCCGAGCCAAACATATTTTTCGGTTTACAGCGAGGAGAAGAGATGAAATAATGCATGGCTTCGAGGCTCATTTGTAGGAGTGCAACAGTTTTTGCATATCTATTGCTCACCCGAGTACATAAAAAGACAATTTTCTAAAAAAAGATAATTGCACAACAAAGCCTTGAAGAAATCTGCATTGCAGAGAATAAGTACTAGAGTAATGAGCTTAACGAGGCATTGTATGCAGATCCCAAAAGCAGATCAGATGCTATTTCAGCAACTCTACTGTAGACCAGCCTGACTGACTTTCATATGTATGGAATTTTCTTCCCCCGATGTCGGTATGTTTAGTTCCAATGGGAGGAACCTGTACTAGAAAGGGAAGAGCATACCTCTTGGTAGGTGAAGACAATAAAAGGAAGCAAATCAGGAGGAATGGTCTTGTGATTAAAGTGCCATGCTAGGGGTGAAATCCTGGCTCCACTGAAGTCAATGGGAGTTCTGCTTCGCTTCCAATGAGGCCAGGAGTTTACCTTTGGACTCCAAGGACTCAAGTTCAAATCCTTGCTCTGCCCCAGGCTTCCTCTATGAACATGGGCATCTGTAAAATGGGGATGCAATATTACAGTTCCCACATCCCTTGTTTGTCTTGTCTATTTAGACTGGAAGGTCTGTGGGGCAGAGGCTGTCTCTTATAAGAACATAAGAATGGCCATACTGGATCAAAGGTTTATCTAGCCCAGTATCCTGTCTGCCGATAGTGGTCAATACCAGGTGCCCCAGAGGGAGTGAACAGAAACAGGAAATCATCACTTGATCCCTCTCTTGTCACCCATTTCCTGCTTCTGAAACTTCAGAGACTGCTTCAGAAACTAGGGACACCATTCCTACCCATCCTGGCTAATAGCCATTGATGGATCTAATCTCCATGAATCTATCTAGCTCTTTTTTGAAACTTGTTTAAGTTCTGGCCTTCACCACATCCTCTGGCAAGGAGTTCCACACTGTGGAACAGACTGTGCACTAAGTGAAGAAAAATTTCCTTTTGTTTGTTTTAAACCTGCTGCCTCTTAATTTCATTTGGTGACCCCTAGTTCTTGTATTGTGGGGATAAGTAAATAACTGTTCCTTATTCACTTTTCTCACACTGGTCATGATTTTATAGACCTCTATCACCCCCACCCCTTTAGTCTCCTCTTTTCTAAGCTAAAAAGTCCAAGTCTTTTTCATCTCTCCTCATATGTGACCCATTCCAAACCCCTAATCATTTTTGTTGCCCTTTTCGGAACCTTTAAATTATGTGCATGTCCAGCACCCAGCACAATGCGGATGAGACCCCTAAGCTCTCTGCTGGAATACAAAGTCACATATATTGTTCTGCCTAGAATTTGTAGCTCTGTGCCAGTAGTATGGTAGAATACCAATATTTTTCATTTTATCATGAAGAATCCTTCATATTTTATATGGACTGAATAAGTCCATCTCTGAGGCAAATTTTTAAAAAAAGAAACCCTCTGATATTAGGTAACAGTGACATGGAGGAACCATCTGAAGGGGTTGTGAGGAAGGTTTCCAATCCTAGAGCTACTCCTTCCACCAAATAGAGTATCAGTCAGTCTGCATGGAAAAGAATAGGAAAGGGGTAGCCAGTTAGGAAGGGAAAGGGGCAGGCAGAAACCATTCTGTGAGACCCACTGCCCCCTCCAAATAGACACCAGTACAGCGGAGAAACAGAGCAGCATTAAATCCTTCTCTTGGCTCAGTGATGCCTGCCACTGGCCTTGTCTAGACCAGTGTTTCTCAACCTTTTTTTTCTAAAGTACCCCTTTAAAAAATTATAAGTACCCCCAAGTACCTACAATTTTCAGACACACACATTTTTTTTTCTACCATTGCAATACATTCGTTTAAACAACTTAATCGTAGCCGGGCGAGCGATGAAATTTTTATTTTTTGATGTAAAAAGGACAAAAACAAAGTGCTGTAAAACGTAAAATAAAAATTCAGTTTTCCTCCCAATTCCAAGTTGTGTTGATGGACCTTTCTAGACTTCTCTCGAGTACAGCTGCTCCCCGAGTTGCGAACGGTCGAGTTACGACCGTTCGCACTTACGACCAAAGCTCCCATGGAGCGGTTGTAAAGGCGGTCTCTGAATTACGAATGTGACCACGCTTACGAACAGCACGGTCGCATGTAACTCAATGGGGTCCGAGTTACCAACGGATCGAGTTGTGGCCAAGTGTTTGGTCCGTAACTCATTCATAACTCGGAGAGAGGCTGTACCCCTAAGGGTACTTGTACCACTGGTTGAGAAACACTGGTCTAGACTAGCAAAGTTGCCTGTTATTGACAGCGGAGGTTAGTTACAGGCACAGCTACAAGTGCAGCCACAAACATACAGGTTGGACCTCCCAAAACTGGGACTCCCTCATCCAGCAATATCTGTGGTCTGGCAGGAGTGTTCCTGGACCAGGGAGTCCTGGCTGGGAACCCTTGTGGCAAAAGGGCTGGTGGCTTAGAGCCCGGAGGAGTTGGGGCTGGGACCGGCACCGTAACCCCAGTAGCACAGCAGGGGCTGCAGCAGCCCCAGAAACATGGCCGGGGACATGGCAGTCGCAGCAGGGAGCTTGGGGTTAGAGATGTGGCAGCTGTGGCAGCCCCGATAGTGGGCCGGGGCGGGAGATGCAGCAGCCCCAATAACGGGGCTGGGGCCAGGGCAGTCTGGGTTGCCAGTGCTGCAGCAGCACAGCAGCTAGGCAGGAGGGTGGCTGGGGCTGGCAGTAGGGAGGGAAGGTGGTCTGGGGAGCTGGTAGCAGGGGACCTCCTCTGCGCTAGAAACTTCCCTCTCGTTCAGGAACAGTCAGGTCTCATGGGTGCTGGAACAGAGAGGTCCAATCTGTATTGTTTTGAGCTCCACCGATTTCTGAAATGGTGCTGTACACAGTTTGTGCTTGGCTGTACTTTTGTTATAACTGTGTATCAGATTGTCTTATTTGCAAGGTCTTTATTAAATAAAAGAACTACTAACATCTATGATCTGGCTTCCACAGAGTTTGAGTTCCAGCTTTGTCACCCATGTTTACGATGTTTACTCTTCCTGGAACGCACTACACTGCACAGACATTGAGCAGCTTAATCGTATATTGCAAGTAAATAAATACATTCACTTACAGGTATTACTAGGACCTACTTTTTGAAGTGGAAGGACATCGATAATTCTGTAGACAACTGCTTTTTAAGAAGGTTTTATAAAAATAAAAGTGACTGTAAAATGAATGATCCACATACTGACACCAACATGCTACTCCAGCCTGTGCATCGGTGTACTCTAGTGGGGGGTTTCACCCGCCAGGGAAGTGAATCAGATTCTATCTGCAGTTCCTTTTTATGGCCTTTTCCTCAGGGATGTTTTTATTGTTCGTAAATAATGGTCACAAATAAACAAGTAAACTGAAAATGCCGGTAAGAATCTTTTACAGCAGGGGTGGGCAAAATGCACTTAGCGGGCTGGATCCGGCCCACCTAGGGCTTTGATTAGGCCCATCCGGCTGCTCCACGCCCCGCCCCCTAGCGCGTTGCCTGGGAGCTGGAGCCACGCGAGCCCTTTCAACTGCTTCTATGTAAAGCGCTCGCGCCTTCCCCGCCTCTGTCAGGCAACGCAGTTGAAAGGGCTCGCAGGTCCCTGGCTCCCAGGCAACCGGCAAGCATGGGGCCGGAGCTGCGAGCCTTTTCAATACCAGGAATTGAAAGGGCTCACAGCTCTCGCCTCCAGCTAATGTGATGCCTGGGAGCTGCAGGGGAGGCGCGAGCCCTTTCAACTTGTGCTATTTAAAGGCCCTGCCCCTTCCGTCCAAGCCCCGCCCCTTCTAAGGTGGACCACGACCACTTCAAACATTTTTTAAGTGGCCCCCGCTCAAAAATTGTTGCCCACCCCTGTCCTCTTCCCTGCCTCAGCCAGCTAGGAGAAAGAGGACTTCCCCGTAGGACTTCCCCTTCTCAAGTTAGGTCTTTCACTGTTTCCTCTTCCCTATGCATTCCACCCCTGAGTAGCCACATGATGGAAAATAATTCTATTAACTCTTTCTAGATGCAGTGCCTTACATCGTCTCAGTCTGGTATTGGCTACCGTTGGAGACAGGATCCTAGGCTAGAAGAACTCTTGTTCTGATATGGTCTCGATTCCAGCTGATGTCTGCAACACTCCATAGGGTTTTTGTTAAATTGGCGACAGGACAGTTTTATCGATCATGCGCATTGTTACAGTTAAAGAGATAGTAGGAGGGAAAATATTAAATGCTCACCCTTCCGTCGCTGGTCAGAAGTATAGAGTCACTTTTTATATCGCGGTGAATAACCCCTTGAGTGTGCAGGTAGGACAATGCTCTCAGGACAGACAGACAAACTGTAGCTATCTGCTCTTCATTCATTCTAAAAGGCAAGAAGGCAAGGCATGAGCACACATGTAGAAAGAGAGGAAGAATAAACTATGGAAGAAATGGGTCAGGACAATGGGTCAGATGGGAGTAGGTTGGCACAGTCCTTGGCTAGTCAATATGCAGTAGTGATAGACAGCAGCCAAGTCTCTCAAAGGAACTGATCAAGCCCATATTTGCCTGACCATCGCCTTCTCTTTCTAAGAGGTCCTTCCTTCCTCAGGGCTGTTAATCACTTGCCAAGGCTGAAGTCACATACTCTGTCCAGCTAGACAGCCATGTATAGAAGCTAGGCTCACTGGAATTACAGAAGGGAAATCACACTCAACACATTCCAGTGAGCCCCAGCCAATGTGACACAGTGGCATGGATTGGACATTTTTTCCTCTGGATCAGCTTCCCCACCTCTAATATCTTTAACTCACAGACATTTACCTTCCTCCATCCCCCTGCATTCCCATTCTGTTCTGAAATGTGATTTGTCCTTTTCATGTGTTCACTTTTTTTTAATTGTATCCTTTGGTATATATGGTTGTGACTATTTTCTTCCACTATTTGATCTGAGGAAGTGGGTCTGGCCCACGAAAGCTCATCACCTATTAAACCATCTTGTTAGTCTTTAAAGTGCTACACGGTCCTGTTTTTTGTTTCAGCTACACCAGACTAACACGGCTACATTTCTATCACTCTTCTAAATGAGGACGTTAGTTTTGGACAAAAGGAGGGGTTATTATGAGGCCTGACAAACAATCTCACACTCTGTCCCTCAAGAGCCATTGGTCACTTTGTGTTGGTCCTCACCTGCACAGGACTTTATGCAGTTAACGATCACTGGATCAAAATCTTTGTTTTCATGTTGTTACATTAACAACGTACCTGACACAAAAAAATCACACCAGCACAGAGATGAAAAGCTAAGGCACCTAACAGTACGTACCCACTGTTCCTTCAGCCACAGGCCTGCATCTTACCAACACTCCTGTATGCTGCAGACCACATACAACAACCTTAACTCTGCCCTCGATGTCCTAGAGCCACTAGGACCTCTGAAAGCTGGAGGAGTTTCAGCATGTCCAGGTGACCGCAAAGGCAGTAGGTGGCACTGCAGCCATAGCTGTCTAAAGAAGCTCCAGTACCTCTCCTGACAGTAGGTGGTATTTCACTCTATAAACATCTCATATACAGTCTGACAGAGTGGGTTATTATAGGTGGGGTTATCCACCACTAGTCCCTACTGACCAGGAACCCCTGCCTGGCAACAATTAAAACACTGAAACAGCGACATAATCCTGAGAAGAGCCTTCATTGTGCCTCTACAGCGTGCTTCTATTCTGAAATATGGTGGCGCAAAAATGACAGCACCTTCCGTAACAGAGCTGCTCCCTGTCCAAATCCTCTCTCTTGACTTGCATAACAAAAGTAAAATTTGATCTTTTGTTTGTTTGTTTGTTTGCAGCTTTTAGCTCTGCAGGATCAACACAGAGAAGAAAGTCAACCGGGTTGCCTTCTTTCCTGGGAGCTCTCAACTTCTCCTACGTCTGCTACATCTGTGCAAATCCATTTACATCAAGGAGGCTGCACGAGGTGTCACTGCAAGCATGCTGGAGGGCATGAACGGCACAAGTGTAAATGAGGCCACATCTGTACTTATCGCACTGGAGATTGATTTTCTGGTGTTCGATTTAGCGGGTCTAGTGAAGATGGGGTGGGCAATAATTTTTGAACAGGGGCCACTTGAAAAATTTTTGAAGTGATCATGGGCCACCCTGGAAGAGGCGGGGCCTCAGGAGGAAGGGGCGGAGCCTTTAAATAGCAGGAGTTGAAAGGGCTCGCACCTCCCTTGCAGCTCCCAGGCATCATGTTAGCTGGAGGCGGGAGCTGCGAGCCCTTTCAATTCCTGCTATTTAAAGGGTTTGCAGCTCCCGGCCTCGCTGCTAGTGTGTTGCCTGGGAGCTGGGGACATGCAACCCTTTTCAATTGCTTCTATTTAAAGGGTTTGCACCTGCCAGGTGGCTGCCAGGCAACAGCCCCAGTGAAGGCGCAAGCCTTTTACATAGAAGCAATTGGAAGGGTTTGCTGCTCCGGCCCCATGCTAGCCTGTTGCCTGGGAGCCTGGGATATGCCAGCCCTTTCAACTGCTTCTATTTAAAGGGTTCCCACCTTCCCTGGCAATGCATTGAATGGCTTTTGCCTACCCCTGAGTTAAGACCCACTAAATCGAACGCTGAGGGTGACTCCAGTTGGCACTGGTACTGCTAACAGTTGCGAGGAGTGAGAGAAGCCCATGGGAGAGTTTGCTCCCATCAATCTCTCTCTGTGAAGCTCAGCTTAAGGTAAGCTGATTCCAGCTATGTGTTTTATGTAGCTGGAGTTGCATACCTTAACCCGATCTTCCAAGTACAGTGTAGACCTGGCCTGAAGTCCTAATTTGATCAACAGGCTTTTTGTTAGTGGTGATTATGTGTGAGAAGGACGTAGTTTTACTCTTAGATCACGCACTGAGTTAGCAGGGCTGGGAGTCGCCTTAATTTTAAATAGAGTAAATGTTACCTGCCAATTACTGACAGATAACAAATGGAGAACACTAAGGTGTCACTTTGGTAGTCACTTACCAGAGCAGAACTGCAGGCCTTTAAAAAATGGAGCAAGTATATTTTTTGGAAGCTTGAGTATGAGGAAAAGTTTTGAAAATGAAGTAGGTATGTGGCGTTGAACACACACAATGTACAGTCAATGTAATGTTTTTAGTGAGTCAGTTTCCTGCTCTGACAAAACTGAAGTTCTTCCATTTACAGACAGCCCACGACTTGTCAGGAAGGAGCAATCACTACTGAGATGGAATCATGAAAGAGAATGAGGAAGGGAAACAACACTTAGGGCTCGTCTAGACTATATCCCTATTTCGAAAGCGGGATGTAAATGAGCCCGAGCGAAAGTGCAAATGAAGCGCATATTTAAATATCCCACGCTTCATTTGCATATTTGCATCCGATCGCAGTTTCGAAAAAGGTTATTTTGAAAGTGAAACTGCAGTCTAGATGTGGTTCTTTCGAAAAAAGCCCACCCGTTCTCATAAGATCCTGTACTCCTCATTTTTTCAGGAGTGCGGGATCTTTCAGAAAAGGGTTTTTTTTTCCAAAGAACCGCGTCTAAACTGCAGTTTCACTTTCGAAATACCCTTTTTCGAAACTGTGATCAGATGCAAATATGCAAATGAAGCACAGGATATTTAAATCCACGCTTCATTTGCACTTTTGATTGGGCTCATTTAGTCTAGTCGAGCCCTTAGATTTCAGAGCAAATATGTGGATTCACATTCTGTGGGCAATCATTTAGGATTACTTCGTTTGCTCTTCTGTCCATTACAAACAAACATTTAAAAATGATATTTCAGGAAGCATCTCATAAATTATATGAGAGGACATAGTTATCCAGTCATCATTTACAAAAAAATATTCATGGAAAATGAAGCCCGTCACATTGCTGTACCATGGTTATCACAAGGAAATTGAAGAGAGTTAATGAGCTGTAAGCCTTTCTATCGTGTGCTCTATCACCTTAGCCTTCATCCATAGAACTTCCTGTAGCGGTCATTGAGTGAGAGATACAGAAACATTCCATATTTCAGTTGTGACTTACCACTTGACTTGCATTCTAGATGAGCCAGTAAAGGACATTATTCCTGTCTTGCTGGCCAGTTTCCTGTATTACATTAATATAAAAAATGCCCACCAAAGAGACTTTTGCTTCCACTCTACTATGTAAAAGTTACAAAATTTCAGTAACATTGTTGAGGGGAGGTCATAAAAAGTTAGAAAAGTTTCAGGAATGACGTCAGAACTTAAGAATGGCCATACTGGATCAGACCAAAGGTCCATCTAGCCTAGTATCCTGTCTTCTGACAATGGCCAATGCCAGTGAACAGAAAAAAAGGTAATCAAGTGATCCCTCTCCTGTCACCCATTCCCAGCCTCTGACAAACAGAGGCTAGGGACACCATTCCTACCAATTCTGGCTAATAAGTATTGATGGACCTAACCTCCATGAATTTATCTAGTTTTTTTCTGAACCCTACTAAAGTCCTGGTCTTCACTACATACTCTGGCAAGGAGTTCCACAAGTTGACTGTGTGCTGCATGAAGAAAAACTTCCATTTGTTTGTTTAAAACCTGCTACCTATTCATTTCATTTGGTGACCCCTAGTTCTTATGTTATGGGAACAAGTAAATCACTTTTCCCTATTCACTTTCTCCACACTTGTTTAAAGATGTTATTTTTAAACACTTCTGGTTGCAAAAAACTATGAGATCTCTTAAGTAGCAGTTTTCTATAAACATCTGTTTGCTGTTAAATTCCTGTCAAAGATATTTGGCAGAGTGATTCAGGCGTGCGGGTAGAGGGGGGGAAAGGGCGGCAGTGTAATTAACAAATGCTTTACAATGATTTTTTTTGCGTGTCAGTTTATGCAGCACTTAAAAGATAAGTATGAATTTTACTTTAGTAGTGATCCGAGCATGATGCTATGTTGTTAGATAACATTTGTGACTGAATTACTATTTGTTACTAAACCAGGAGTCTTCTTATTCATGCCTGGTTAAATTTCCTCCATGCAGACGTGCTAGTTGTGTGCTTTTGATTCAAGGAGAAAGGCATTTTACTCATTACATGTAAAACCCTTTTTTCTTGACTACCTCCTTCCTGAATGTTGGGAAAAAGATGGGTGGTAAACGAAGGGCATGTGTTACACAAAATCTCATCTCTCCAGATGGCAAGATGGAAGACAGACAAAGTCAGGAACTCCCTGTAACCTTTGGTACCCAATGAATTGCATTGATTAGGGATATATTTTCTTTTTTACTGAAATAAGCATACCTGTACAATCCCTAATGCTGGTGCAGTTACACTGGTCTGAAGGTTCTTACAGCAATATATCTTATTTCCATTTGTGTGTGGGAAAAGCTATACCAGCATATATATACACAGGAGCATCCCGAGGCCGGCTGCAGCAGCTGGCGCCCTAGGCAGGGTGGCACAATCGGCGCCCCTACCTGCACAGTCATCAATGGCTGTGACATCATCACGGGGCGCCCCGGCACCCTGTGACATCATCATCGGGCACCTGGGCCAGTGGCACCCTTTGCAGCTGCCTAGCTCGCCTAGGCTCATGGGCTACCCCTGTTTATACAGTGGGGAATATTGTGGCACCTTAGCTATACTAGCATGATTAACATGGTACAGGTTGGACTTCCCTGGTCTGGCACCCTCAGGACCGGAAGGGTCCCAAACCAAGGAGTTTACCGAACCAGGGAGGTCAAGGCTTCCCTCCCCAGCCAGCTGCCCTGCTCCCAGGTGCCAATCCCAGCCATTGGGCTCTGCTCCTAGCCCCAACTGGGGCTACACTCCCACCTTGCTGCTGCTGGCCTGACCAGGGCTGCGCTCCTGACCCTGGATGGCCGGGGTGCTTTGGTTCAGCAATGTCTGTCACCCTGCTGTACCAGAAAGTCCCAGATTCCAGAGGTTCAACCCATACAACTTTTGTGTTTAGGCAAGGCCCTAAGTTGCTGCAGTGGGCGGTGAAAGAATTCCCAACACGAAGGGACCTATGTTGCCATTGGTTTAGTTTTCTCTTAACAGGCAACTGCCTGCAACCAAGTTTCCTGTATCTTCCTCAGATACGGCGAGTAATAAATACTAGAGAGAGGATTCCGGGCCGGATGGAACACTGCTCTGATCCCATCACTCTTTCTCCACCATAGCTGAATTAACAGAGTTATAGTCTATAGCTGATGGGCCAAAATGTGGCTGCACCAACTGAGGTGCATTGTGGGTCAGAGGGCTCAGGAAACCCCTTTCCTCCCAGGGCTCTCATGAAGAATGGGAGCCCTAAAGCAGCAGCCTGCCATGCAGAGCGAAGGGGAACAGGTCATCTGTGTTGATGGAAATGTAGAGCAAGTGTGAGGGAACATGGCTGTGAGGATAGGGGAGGAAGGCCGGGCCAGGAAGGCGCTCATTGTCACCTTTGGCAATAATGGAACAGTGACTGCCAATCGTGTGCACTTGTCCAGCATCTCTGGAGGCATTTTGCTTACTGTGACACCACACAGACATCATGGCTCCTGTCAACACCATTCAGATGTAAGTCTGACACTATCTCCCCTTCCTGACATAGCACTGGCTCTGGGGTGACCGTCTGGCCCCATGTAAGTCCGGGGAAGTGTTATCATGAGCTCCAAGGCAGCTAGAAGTGGCAATTTAGCCCTAAAGTTTTGAATTGGATGGGGGCAAGAAAAAACAGGAGGAAGGGGGACCAGGCTGGATTTCACTCTACCAGAATGTGTACATGGACATTCTCTCCATCACCTTTGTGTTGAGACCTGAGTTAGGATTTCCATATTTCCCTAGTGAGCAACCCCTCAGTCTTACCACCGCACTGTAAGGTATGGGGTTCCCTGCACTGGGTTGAGTGTTTAAGCTACACAGTTTTTGTATGAGACACCCAGGACCCCAAACTCAGATTTTAGCAATAAAAAAGGACTCTCTCTTCATTCTTAAAGAGAAATGATCAGTATAAAGGGTAGAACAATGGACCTGTTGCAAATTGAATAAAGCTGGGTATTTTCAGGCGTTTTAACTGGCTTCACGAATCATCTGACAGATTTTTTTTTTGGTTAAGATTAAATGCACAGTAAAGTTCTCAGAATTTTTGCCTTTTGTTATGAGTATTTATTCCATTACAGACTTGCCTGCTTTTAGACAGATGCTGATAATACCAAACCATGTTTAAATCACTCAACAATTTGCATCGAGGCACCAAGAGCTGACGGTGGGACAAAGCAGGCATGGACTGCACTTAGTCCCACTTTTGCTAACATTTCCACCCTTCTGTAAACTGGCAGTGGCAGTAAACATGGGCAGGACCACAGCCAGATATTTCTTCTTGCCCTAGTAGAAGACAAGGTTTTATCACACCTCTGAAAGAATGGGTGCATTCAACACTAAAACAGTGTACAGATGATGCAAACCAAACATACCTCGTATGAGTCACGATGTCTGTCAAAGCACCACCTTCCAGAAACTCCATAACAACCCACAGTTCATCGCCCACGAGATAACTATTGTACATGTCAACCACATTTTCATGGTGGTAATCCCTCATTATTACAACCTAAGCAAAAGAGGAAACACTCCTGTAACTCATGCAAACATTCGACACTTAACCATTTTTCTTTTACCTTGGCATTGAAGAAATGTTTTGCGGTAACACCCTGGCTAAACCCACATCCCTAATGACACCCGCCAACTATAGTTACACGTCAAAAACAGTCATTTCTGAAAGACAAAGTGCTATTTTTAAATTACATTGGGTGGGTAACAACTTTCTTTTGGATATAAAACCAGGAATGGTTATTACATTTGTTTTTGTCTGTTGCTTCTCTTTTTAGCACAGCAGAGATTGCATCAAGTTTGTCAAGCAAAGCCCTCTCTCTGGTGCCACTAAATTCAATATGCAGAAAATTAAAAACCCAAGCACTCTAATAATACACAGCTCAATTGTGACCCGGCAAAAGCAGCAGTAGGGGCCATAAGGCATTCATTCCCTACTACCCACATCTCAGGCAAGAGGGCCAACAGGCTCACTGATGGGGGTGGGAAGAGGGCAAAGAGGACAGTTGCCCCGGATCCCGGTGATTCAAAGGAGTTTGGGGCTCCCAGCTGCTGCTACTGTGGCAATAGGGGCCCCTGGTCCTTGAAATTGACTCCAGAAGACCACTCCAAGTGTTCCATGCGGCTGTGAGGGCTGACTAGCCACAGCCCTGCCCTTTCTGCTTGAGGTCCTGACCCTTCCAGGCTCACAGAGCCAGGCCCCTCCCCATTTTGCCCAGGGACCTGCAGAGGCTGCCGGTTCCCCTGAGGGCCGATCCATTATATCGTTCCTTGTGCCGCTGAGCGGACATGGCACAATAAGGCAGAGAATGGGCAAAACTGGGAGCGCCAAGGAACACGTGCTGAGATAGGAACGGACCTGACCTCCTTTCCCAGAGCAGTAGGGAACTGGGAGACTGTATCTCATAGCATGTCCAAGTTCAGGGCAACATTGCTGGGCTCCCAGCAAAGCTATGACTGAGCCGGAAGGAGAGGCAGAATATCAAAGACAATGACATTTTACATTTGATTACAAAAGTGACAACTATTTTACTTGGTGCTCAGTTTGTGACCTGCTCACAGGAAGGGAACCTCCTCAACATGGAAACTGCAACTCAGGGAGTTACAACAGAACGCACCCTCCCTACTTGAGGTGGACGAAGACTTATCTACTGGGCACCTGGGCGGGAGGGTGGTTTCTGTTTTGCTCCTCTGATCAGTCATCTGCCAAATGGTTCCCTCATCCAACATGGCTTACCTCATTGAAGAGCAGCTCTCTTCTCTGTTGTTTCCTGAGATCCATTTTCTTCACTGCGACTTGCTTTCCGGTGTGCTTCTCAGAGGCAATGCAAACGATCCCGGTGGAGCCTTCTCCTATTTTGATAAAGTTGTCCAAGTATTCCCGAGGGTCGCCGGGGCTGACGACGAGTTGGAGAGCAGCTCTGAACTGTTCATGTGACACCCTGGAAGGCTGCTGATCTGAGGACGAACCCCAGCTAGGTGGGGGATAAGCACTTGATGTGACACTTGGGGAACTTGGGTAAGAAGCCGTGGAAATGTAATGGGAGCTTGGCTGCAGGGCAGGCTGGTGATAATGAGAAGCTTTGTGATAGATGGAAGGATACTGGAAGCTACTACCTGAACAGCTAACTTTGCTTTGACTTTGAGGTAGCTTTGTCGGGCCTCTGGGATAGGTATCAGATCCAGACAGTGGTGGGCTAACTACCATCTGTGCTCGATCATAATCCACCTGCAAAAAATGAAAACAAGGCAAAGTTAAAGTGTTGTATTCAGCCTTGATCAATGGCTGAAAATAACTTCAGGTATTATGACCATTCTAAACCTTATGTTATCAATGAGTCATAGAACACTAGAACTGGAATACGAAGAATACTAGAACTGGTCTGAGGTAAACAGGTTGAAGTTTAATAAGGACAAACGCAAAGTACTCCACGTAGGTACGAACAATCTGTGTCACACATACAGAATGGGAAGCAACTGTCAGGAAGGAGTCCTGCAGAAAGGAATCTAGGGGTCATAGTGGACCACACGCTAAATATGAGTTGACACTGTTGCAAAAAAAGCAAACATGATTCTGGGATACATTAACAAGAATGTTGTAAGCGAGACAGGAGAAGTCATTTTTCTGCTCTACTCTGCACTGAATAGGCCTCACTTGGAGTATTGTGTCCAGTTCTGGGCACCACATTTCAAGAAAGATGTGGAGAAATTGGAGACAGTCCAGAGAAGAGCAACAAAAATGATTAAAGACCTAGAAAACATGAGCTATGAGAGAAAGCTTAAGGAATTGGGCTTGTTTAGTTTGGAAAGGAGAAGACTGGGAGGGGACGTGATAGCGGTTTTCAGGTATCTAAAAGGGTGTCGGGGAAGGAGGGAGAATTGTTCTCCGTGGCCTCTGATGATAGGACAAAAAGCAATGGGCTTAAACTGAAGCAAAGGAGGTTCAGTTGGACATTAGGAAAAAACTTCCTAACTGTCAGGATGGTTAAACACTGGAATAAATTGCCTAGAGAGGTTGTGGAATCACCATCACTGGAGATATTTAAGAGCAAGTTAGACACCTATGAGGGATGATCTCTCTATGATTCTATGGAAGGGACCTTGAGGGATCATCAAGTCCAATCTTCTGCACTCACAGCAGGACCAAGCACCGTCTAGATCATTCTTGACAGGTGTTTGACTAACCTGCTCTTAAATATCTCCAGTGATGGAGATTCCACAACCTCCTTGGGCAATTTATTCCAGTGTTTAATCACCCTGACAGTTACAAAGTTTTTCCTAATGTTCAACCTAAACATCCACCACTGCAATTTAAGCCCATGATTCCTCTGATATCAGAGCCACACTGCCATTCATACTGCCATGCCAACAACAACATGTCTGTGTAACAAGCGATTAAGAGTTGAAGTAAGGAGATGCACAGGGGAAGCCATTTGCAGTGCACAACTTGTTTTTTAAGTCCTGCAAAACCCAGGAGCCATGCTACACACTCTTGACCACTATCTCCTGGTACTTAGACTATTAACTCTTCATGCATATAGAGACACAGGCTGCATCCTAGAATGAAACTAGGACTGGCTGGGAATTGGAATTTTTTTCCCATTCCAACGGTCTGGGTGGAAGATTCTCTTAGCATTGGTTATGTTCTAAAGCCATGTGACATGGTGACGGCCATTCTTGAAGAGAGTTGGGGCTAGCAGCATAGACAGACGTATTCTGATTGGGTAGATCCCCATCACATGCAGATTGGACAATCCCATTTCTTCCACTGACAGCCCATCTTTCACCCCCTCTAGTTAACCTGCTCTTTCCTACTGATGGTGAAGCAGGCACTGCTCTGTATAAATACAGCATTACTCAGGAAGTCCTAGCAGTGCTGAATAAGACATTTAAGCTCAAATGACAGTAGTGTGTTCATTACTAATGCTTAACTTACAGGAGTCGCAAACCATTATGCTTCAGGGGCTTTCTTACTATTCTCCACACTGGGGTTGTGCTTATTGTTCTTCCCAACAACGTGAGCATATATTGGGCAAATGCTATATTAGATTAAAAAACCATAAGCAGAAACCATGTAAGTTCAAACTAAGATTTTGCCCCGGGGTGAAGGAGAGGATTGATTATGTGAGCCTGTAACATGGGTGTTCGGTCTTCATAGTTTTCAAAGTGGGCTTCCTTCAAGCAAGACATAATGAGCAGCAAGGATTCTCATTTAATGTATCATTTCTTAAATGATTTTCCAGGATGACAAACTACTTAGCTGCAGTTTCACACAGCCCCTAGTTTTCCTTTGAAATCAGGGACAATCTGGGAAGAAATTATCTCAATGGGAGACTTAAAAAAACCCAAAACACCCCAACTGCAAGCATTATTCCTTTGATGGAAAAACAACTAATAACACACGTCCTGTTTCTACTTAAATGTTCCTTTGCTTTAAAGTTTTCCCAAGCTTCTGCTATGTAAATGAACTTTTTACATTCTCAGACAAGATGGTTGCTTATCCATGTCTCTATTCAAGCCCAAAAGGCACAGGCAAAAATGCATCTAAGCAATTTTTGGAACTGAATCTTAGCTTGCAACAGAACAAAAATAGCCCATGACAATGTGTGTAACATCTCTCAGAAGAGTAGGGGGTACTTAGACATAGGCTCATAGTGTAGCACAATTACAAATAATTATACCTATGAATTCATTTAATCAATCAATTCCTCTGGCAGTGCACAGAGGTGGACAGGGCATAAAACTCTACACAGCTCTCAGTTGCTACTATTACTGCTGGCTGTCAGCCAGGAGTCCCCTGATCCATGTTAGTTAAGTGCACATTAATCTGAATTTGGCAGCGTAATCAAGGACCCAACTGAACTGTGAAATTGAATTCTGCAGTGGAACATCATTTGACCATTTTATGCTAAGACTGAAAAAAAAATCTGCCGCAGCATCAATTTATCACTGTAGCCTGCTGCACAGAGAGAAGGCGTTTGCAGCTGAAATCTACTCAGTGGGGGAGGGGGGAAACCCCTCAAATTAAAAAATTATATCAGTGTTTTGCAACATTATGTGTAGAACACTTGCCCATCTTTTCATTTCACACACAACTTTGTATGGGAGGGCTTGCATGCTCTCAAAGGGCTGCTTAAAACTGCCCTTTTTGAATTGTGAAACTGGATCCTTCTTTAAACATGGCTCTTTTGACTCACTGCAGCACATAATAAGTCGCATGCACAAAAACACCAGACAGCATCTTACTTAAAGTAACAATTTCCCAATAGAAAATTTTTATACAAAGTAAGGATACAAATAATTATAGGAATGGATTCATTTGATCGACCGTGTTTACTATACACTGCAAAAGGGCCATTAGGAACTCTGCTATTACCAATCTAGTTAATGCGTAAAATGCCTAGGTACTCCAGTGTTTGGGGCACTTTACACATTTAGATCAATGGTTACACATAAGTGAATTTTATTAAATTTAAACTTAGGGATGGTATTTATGTTCAGAATTTTAAAATGAACATGATCAAGTTCAGAAAGACTTCTGCAAAGCATGGTGTACTTGCTAATATATTTTAAGCTCTTGAAAGCTAGAATTCGATAACACAGCTTACAATGAAACTCAGTACTATTCATTTCTTGAATACAATGAAATGTAACAAAAATACATAGGAAAAAAGCCATTAAATCACCTGACTTTTCATTATTAGCTATGTTGTAATTCTTGGCATCACTGCAAAATCAAATAGATACTATTTAATTAATGCTTTTATTTATATTACTGTATTCAATTAGCCTCCCAAAGGAAACCCCGTAAAAGACTATTTAAAAAAAAAACCAACGCAGGCCTCATTCAAGATCAGGTCAATAGGGCGGATTAGGTTTTGACATGAAATCCATCAAAGCACTGCAGTGTAATGGAATACACTTCTGCTGCCGTGTGGGTTGGTTCACTGACTCATAAAATTACTCAAGTGTGTACCTGCTCATTTTAGCACGGAGGCCCTCAGTTGTTAAGAAGGGGGTATCACAAGATATTTAACGTCATTTTACCTTTCGGGCGGATGGCAGTAATGCATATTTTGTAACACCAGAAATTATAGCTATTTAATATGCTATTAGGAGGAAACACCTGCTTATTCAGATGAAAACTAAGACCTTGATTCTGTAGCATGCTCTGTGTGGGCAGACCTTTCACCCATGTGGGATGCCACTAAATTAGTCATAGAACCAGCCAGCAGGAGAACTATAGAAATGACCCACGCCAGAAATGGCTGTCCTAGTCCCACCGCTGAAGTATTTGGTATCCTATGGGAGGGAACCACAGTGGAAAAACAAACATCTTAAAAGGGAACACTCCCCACTCCTCTCCACCTTTCCATACACACATTTGCCATGAATCCAGTCTAGCCAGGAGATGGAGAAGCCACCGAAGTGCGCAAAGAGGCTGTGGTGCAGAGGCATAGCGAGGGTGAAATGCGCCCAGGGGCAAAGGCAAAATTTGCTCCACCCCACGCTACTGCCATGCGGCGGGGCCCCAAATCTGGCACACGGCTGAGCCCAACCCTGAGAGTTGGGGGAGGGGGGGGAAGCTTGTATCATGTCTTCCCTCACCCCCTCCAATTTGGGCCTGGGTCCCCGCATGTACTAACCCGCTGGCAGAGGTGGAGGAGGGTCAGGCTGGAGGCGGGAAGGAGGCTCAAGCCAACAGCAGAGGGTGGAAGAGGAGCGGGCGAGCCGAGGGAGAACAGGGGGAGCGGAGGGGGACTAAATTGGCGCCTCCCTAATGTGTCACCCAGGGGCAACTGGCCCTCCCACCCTCCCTTGCTACGCCACTATGGTGAGAGGGGATTTCATAACTATAGGTAGTTATGTGGTGACCAAGAATTGCTGGGTGTCTTGCCTGACAGAGGCAAAGTGGTGGGTCGCATGCCTACTATGGGGCTCAGAGCCCTCCCACATCCCAACCCTCTGCCCCAGCCTGGAGCCCCCTCCCACATGCTGAACCCCTTGGCTCCACTTCCCAATGTGGAGCCCCAGTCTGCACCCTGATCTGCTCATCCTCAGCCCCACCCCAAAGCCCATACCCCCAGCCAGAGCCCTCAAACCCTCCCGCACCCCAACCCTCTGCCCCAGCCCAGTGAAAATGAGCAAGCGAGTGAGGGTGAGGAAGAGTGAGCGCCAGAGGGAAGGGGGATGGAGTGAGCAAAGGCGGGGCCAGGAGAAGGGGTGGGG